TATGAATTAAAATAGTGATTTTAAACAGCCACGATGATAATAATATCTCACCATTTATATTTATATTTTGCCATTTTGAAACATCTTTTTGGATGTTATTTCATTTAATAGCCAAGACAGCCTTGTGAGCTTAGTAGAAGTATCTTTAACGCCCATTTTAAAGTAAGGAACCTGAGGAAAACAGAAGTTAGAGGACTTTTCCCATTTACAGGGCTGTCAGATGCCAGAATCCGAGCTGTAAATCCTTAGAGTCCTAAACTTCTTAGAGTTCAGTCTTTCTCATTTGCTACTGCAGCCTGTCTACACGGCAAGGATACCACCCAGGGAATTTCAGAGATGAGAATTTGATACTAAATTGGCCACAAAGTTACTGAACTTCACTGGGCTTCCTTCCCCACTTCTAAAATGCATTGCTCATGTCAGTCCTTCAGTGAGCACGTAGTGTCAGAGAGTCCCTTTGAGATTCTTAGAAAGGATCTACTATGCTTCATACATAATCAGCACTCCATAAATATTTGTTAAACAAATGAATGCTCAAACAAATGTAAATAGCTAGCGTTAGTGTTTTCCTTATTGATTAAAATTCATTGAATATAAAAATGCATATCCTGTGTTTATGGAAGTCATGATATCATAAAACAGTATTTCCAGCTTTTAATATTTCACACCCCCAAAATTATTCTTGTAAAATATTGTCTCACAATTACAGGCACCAAAAGTGCTCTTTTCTTATGAGCATCCATGTATTTATAAGTGTTTGCAGTTTAAGAGAAGTAAGTTACAAGAGTAATATTGGTGGTCAATACCATTGTTCTAGGCACCCATGACACATGTTGGTAAAGAAAGGAGACAGGGGAAACACTGAATTCTTATGGTTTCTTTAACCTGAATTAATGGAATACCACTCCAGGATTTGGAGGATTTTCAAGAGATGGCAGGTCACACAAACAGGCAGGCTTGGGATTGAGGCAAAGCAGATACTTAATAATTATTACGACTTCCTATGTCTTACCTACATATGGGTTTGTGGCCCTCTTCCTATATTGCAGGAATTGTTTCGACTTTTGTGTGAATCTCTGTTTGAATTTGCCTTTAGGAATATCTATGTTCCTAGTCTTTTCTATACATTTATTAGTTGGGTGATTCACTCACTTGAAAATCTCAGTTTTCTCCATTATGAAAGATAAAATGCCAAATGATTTCATCTGAGATTGTTACCCTTTTCCCAGAAGTCGGGTCTCTCTTTCCATAGTTCTTTATTTTAGGCATTACTTAATAACTGCCAAAATTAGACTCCTCTTCATTATCACTTTTAGAGAAAAAAGTAGTCCTGTAGACTACTAATAGTAGTTAATACCTTCGCAAGTATTCACATTTTATATTTTAATTTCATTTCAGATAACTGTTTCAATCAACTTTTTCATTTGCCATGACCATGCCCTAATATATTCCAAAACTATATCTTTAGAGATAAAACCAAAATGTCAAAGCAGAGCTTCCATATTTTTTACTGATTGCTGAACTTGGTATAAATTATCAATTAAATATTACTTTTTTGTTAGTTTTCATCAAACTCATAGTGCTTACTATGTGCCATATACACATTATATTAGCTCTTTCAATTTTTCTGACAATTCTATGACTTAGGTACTATCATATTATCTCCATTTTGTAGATGAAGAAAGTAACAGCCCTACATCACAAAGTAATGATGAGTGGAGGAGCTGGGCTTTGAACCTGGAAAATAGAGCCAGAGCCTGGGTTTAACTAATAGGATATCTTGTTTTTTCTTCTTTTTGAAAAATTTCAAGAGAAAAATAAACTTTTTGTTTTTTTTAATTTAAAATTTGACTAAAATGTTCACAGTGCTGGTTACTCCATAAAGTTCTATCTATAGTCAATCAACTGAAATATGTGTTCCTATCATTGAGATTTAAAGACTGATTTATAACATCCTCTTTTCTGTTTTGTTTTCTTTCTTTTCCGATTGTTTGACATTTAGGGAATAATATTTGGTAGATAAAAGAGGAAGGATGGCAGGTATGTGTATAAAGTTCTTGAAAACCAAGATTGTAGGAATTTATGATCAGGTAAGTATGATTCTATAGTGGGTGGTGATTCATCGATACTGTAATAACAGCTGCCATTTATTATTTATTTATTAAATATGAATCATTTTGCATGCATTGTCTCATTTATTCTTCTAATCCTCATGAGTTAGGCCCTATGATTATCCCATATTACAGAGGAAAAAGTTGCCCTAGATCACAGAGTTACTAGAAATTAAACTGAAGCTATCCATACCTTCCTATCACCAACACATTCATAGATGTGTTTCTTAAGCATCTTGGGCAATGACAAGAAATTGACCTATTGGGGATACAAAAATAATGTAGGTAATACCAAGATGCCTACAGAAGCTTGTTCCAGGCAGATGAAGAATTAGAGGAATTTTTAAAAACCTTTAACTCTCATTTTTGTTAACTTACTGGGAATTTGTTATTTGTGCTATTTTAAATATTATCAGAAAAGTTTACGATACTGTATTACTTTTGATCTCACAGTACAAATTGCTATATCATGAGTTGCATGAGGGTAGAAACCATGTCTTATTCACCCCTGCCTCCCTAAGCCCAGCATGATGCCTAAAACACAGTAGAGGCTCAAAAAATTGTGGAAAACAAAAATGGGCGGATGGATGGATGGATGGATGGAAAGGTATTTAAATGGATAGATGGATGGACAAATGAAAGAACAAAGAAAGGATAAGAAATATTACAATGGCTGGTAAAATCTTAGAGGTAGTTTCTTAGGACAATATTTATGTTGTACAAGGATCTAATACAGTCATTTGAATACATACAATTTATTTTGCATACAGGCAGATCATGTCAGCCTGGGCCTTAACCTCAAATCTATTCATACCTTTTATACTTTCATTTTTTGTATTAATTTCTGGAGTACGTTTGCAATTTTATTACATGCATAGATTGCGTAGTGGTATCACTACCCTAAAAGTCAAGTCAGGGCTTTTAGGGTATCCATCACATGAATAACAGACATTGTACCCATTAACTAATTTCTAATCATCCACCCCCTCTGTCCCCCTCCACCGCCCTTCTGAGTCTCCATTGTATATCATTCCATTCTTTAAGTCTATGTACACACATTTTTTAATACCCACTTATGAGTGAGAACATGTGATATTTGACTTTCTGTGCCTGCCTTGTTTCACTTAAGATAGTGATTTCCAGTTCCATTCATGTTGCTGCAAAAGAAATGATTTCATTCTTTTTAATGGCTAAATGTAGTTTATTGTGTATATATACCACATTTTCTTTATGTATTTTTCTGTTAAGGGACACTTAGGTTGATTCCATTTCTTCGCTATTGTGATTAGTGCTGTGATAAACATGCAAATGCTGATATATTTTTGATTTATAGCCAGTAGTGGCATTACTGGATCGAATGGCAGTTCTATTTTTAGTTCTTTGAAATATTTCCATACTGTTTTTATAGAAGCTGTATTATTTGCATTCCCACCAACAGTGTATAAGAGTTCCCTTTTCTCCACATCATCACCAGCATTTGTTGTCTTGTCTTTTTAGTAATAGCCACTCTGCCTTGGGTAAGATAATATCTCACTGTAGTTTTAATTCACATTTCTCTGATGATTAGTAATGTTGACCATTTTCATATAACTGTTGGCTCTTTGTATGTCTTCTTTTAAAAAATGTTTATTCATGTCCTTTGTCCACATTTTAAAGGGATTATTTAGGTCTTTTTATTGTTGAGTTATTTGAGTTTGTTACTGATTCTGGATATTAGTCCCCTGCTGGATGAATAGTTTGCAATTATTTTCTCCCATTACGTGGGTTGTCTCTTCACTCTGTTGATTATTTCTTTTGTTGTGCAGAAGCTTTTTAGTTTAATTTTCACCTATCTATTTTTGTTTTTGTTTCCTGTGCTGTTGAAGCTTTAGTTATGAATTCTTTGCCTAGACCAATGTTCAGAAGGAATTTTCCTAGGTTTTTTACTAATATTTTTATAGTTTTGGGTCTTACATTTAAGTCTTTAATGCATCTTGAGTTAATTTTTGTGGAAGGTGAGGGATAGAGGTCCAGTTTCATTCTTCTGCGTATGGCAATCCAACTTCGCCAGCATAATTTATTAAAAAAAAGCATCCTTTCCCCAACGTATATCGTTTCCGGCTTTGTCAAAGATCAGTTGGCTATAAATATGTGCCTTTATTTCTGGATTCTTTATTCTGTTCCATTGATTTATGTGTCTATTTTTATATCATTACCATGCTATTTTGGTTATTATAGCCTTGTAATATAATTTGAAATCAAGCAACATGGTACCTCCAGTTTTATTCATTTTGTTCAGGATAACTTTGGCTATTAGGGCTTTTGGGGTTTCAATGAATTTAGAATCATTTTTGTCTAATTCTGTGAAAAATGATGTTGGTATTTTGATAGGGATTACATTGAATCTGTAGATTGCTTTAGTCAGTATGATTATTTTAATAATATTAATTCTTCTGATCCATGAGCATGAGATAGTTTTCCATTTGTTTGTGTCATCTAC